CCGGGGGAACCCCAAGGTGTTCCCTGGCCAGGTGAGAGACATAGTCCCTCCACCGTGTCCTTGTTCTACCTTTAGGTCTCTCCCGGTTGGACGTGCCTGGAAAACCTCACCAGGGAGGCGTCCTGGATGCATCCTGACCAGATGCCCTAGCCACCTCAACTGGCTCCTCTCAATGTGGAGTAGCAGCAGGGCTACTCCGAGCCCCTCTCAAATGACCAAGCTTTTCACCTTATCTCAGGGAGAGCCCATCCACTCCTCGGAGAAAACTCATTTCGGCCGCTTGTGTCCGCAATCTCGTTCTTTCGGTCACTACCCAAAGCTCATGAGGGTAGGAATGTAGATCGACCGGTAAATCGAGAGCTTCGCCTTCTGACTCAGCTCTCTCTTCACCACAACAGACCTGTACAATGCCCGCATCACTGCAGATGCAGCACCAATCCGCCAATCGATCTCATGCTTCAGTTTTCCCTCACTCGTGAACAAGACCCCAAGATACTTAAACTCCTCCACTTGGGGCAGGACCTCATCCCTGACCCAGAGAAGGCATTCTACCCTTTTCTGAATCAAGACCATGGTCTCAGATTCAAAGGAGCTGATTCTCATCCCAGCTGATTCACACTCGGCTGCGAACCGCTCCAGCAAAAGCTGAGGATCACATTCAGATGAAGCCAACAGGACCACATCATCTGCAAAAAGCAGAGACCTGATCCTCAGGCCACCAAAATGGATGCCCACCACACCTTGGCTGCACCTAGAAATCCTGTTCATAAAGGTTATGAACAGAATCGGTGACAAACGGCAGCCTTGGCGGAGTCCAACTCTCACTGGGAACGAGCCCGACTTACTGCCGGCAATGTGGACCAAGCTCTGACACCGGTCATACAGGGACCTAACAGCCCGTATCAGAGGGCCTGGTACCCCATACTCCTGGAGTACCCCCCACAGGGCCCCCCGAGGTCAAACGCCTTCTCCAAATCCACAAAACACATGTAGACTGGTTTGGCAAATTCCCACGCACAGTCCAGTATCCCCCTAAGGGTATAGAGCTGGCCCAGTGTTCCACGGCCAGGACGAAAACCACATTGCTCCTCCTGAATCTGAGGTTCAACAATCCGACGGACCCTCCTCTCCAGAACCCCCAAATAAACCTTACCAGGAAGGCTCAGGAGTGTGATCCCCCTGTAGTTTGAACACACCCTGTGGTCCCCCTTTTTAAATAAGGGGACCACCACCCCGGTCTGCCATTCCAGTGGGACTGCCCCCGATGTCCATGCGATATTGCAGAGCTGCGTCAGCCAACACAGCCCCACAACATCCAGAGCCTTAAGGAACTCCGGGCGGATCTCATCCACCCCTGGAGCCTTGCCACAGAGGAGCTTTTTAACCACCACAGTGACCTCAGAACCAGAGATTTCAGAGGCCAACCCAAAGTCCCCAGACTTCTTTCTCACTGGAAGACGTGTCGGTGGGATTGAGGAGGTCTTCGAAGTATTCTGCCCACCGATCCACAACGTCCTGAGTAGAGGTCAGCAGCACACCGTCCCCACTATAGATAGTGTTGGTAGCGCACTGCTTTCCCACCCTGAGGCGCCGGATGGTGGACCAGACTCTCCTCGAAGTCATACGGAAGTCTTGCACCATGGTCTCACCAAACTCCTCCCATCCCCGGGTTTTTGCCTTGGCGACCACCCGAGTCGCGTTCCGCTTGGACTGCCGGTACCCAGCAGCTGCCTCTGGAGTCCCAAAGGGCCCAAAAGACCTGATTGGACTCTTTCTTCAGCATGACCGCGTCCCTAACCACCGGTGTCCACCAGCGGGTTCGGGGGTTGCCACCACGACTGGCACTGCCGATCCTGCGACCTCAGCTCCGGTCAGCTGCCTCAACAATGGAGGCACGGAACAGGGTCCATTCAGACTCAATGTCCCCCGCCTAGTGTTGTCAAAAAAATCGATACCTACATATAAATCGATACTAAAAGTGTATCTAAATTAGATATTCCATCCCTGTGGTATCGATATTATGGACTATTATACACAGCCTTCTTCAAGTACACCGACACGCACGACAGCCAGATGCCGTAAAGCAACCTCCGCCTCCCAGACAAACAGAAGAAGAAGACGCCGCATGGCTACATTACAATTTCCCACGCGAGATGTCTCCGATCCAAGTTTTGTCTGCCAAATAAATAATAAACAAAAACATAAACAGCGAATTTGGGAGGCGCTTCACAGCCCAACTTAATTAGCATACCAAGTCCGACACGTTGTATATTCACGCTTATGTGCTTAAAGGAAAACTCCCGTTTATTGCAACCCGGACTTAATTTCTAGCATGCAGTACGTTTGTTTACTCACGCTGACAACTTTGGTGCTACTTGGATTCCCCGGGGTATTTAGATCCATCGGCGAATCGCCATCAGTGTATATCCATATAACGGGTGCGGACAGGCACCCATGGTGCAGCCTCGAAATAAGACATTATCTGCACCAAAACATCTCAATGTCGAAAGGTTTTGTTTGGAATCATTAACGTGATTCCCCTGTTTGTTTGGAGCGAGTCTGGGATTTCTAGGCATGAACAGACTAGCCACGGCTAATCTAACCGGCGCTTTTAATGACGTCACTGCCGTGCGCCAATCTGTTTTTATTAAGATTACCGGTAGATGTACCTTTGTCCTACTGTGGAGAAATTCATTTTCTCCCTTTATTGACCAACAGAGTTGTTCAAAAGTACAGAACAAAACATATGGCATTACAGCTTATGACAAAAATGCACCTTAAACAGAGTTTAAGCAGCAAAACATCACTCTGCAAATAGTGTGTATATAGTGAGACAATTCATGATTTAAAGTGTTAACTTTCGCCAGTCTTTGTATGCACGTTTTAAAAAATGCTGATACTTGAGAGGTTTAAGCACTTTATACACTTAATTCTTAACATTTAATTTTTGCAATATAAATTGAGGAATGTTATTTTTTGAATAAACTTGCTCAATAAATTGGTGTTTGTAAATAGTATCGAAATCGAGTATCGAGTTTTTTTTCCAAGTATCGAATCGAGTTTGAAATTTTTGTATCATGATAACCCTACCCCCGCCTCCCCTGGAACATTTTGGAAGTTCTGTCAGAGGTGGGAATTGAAGCTCCTTCTGACAGGAGACTCTGCCAGACGTTCCCAGCAGACCCTCGCAATACGTTTGGGCCTGCCTGGTCTGACCGGCATCCTCCCCCATCATCTGAGCCAACTCACCACCAGATAGTTGTCAGTTGACAGCTCCGCCCCTCTCTTCACCTGAGTGTCCAATACAAGTGACCGCAGGTCAGATGAAACAACAACAAAGTCGATCATCAAGCTGTGGCCTAAGGTATCCTGGTGCCAAGAGCTCATATTGACACCTTTATGTCTGAACATGGTGTTCATTACGGACAATCCATGACTGGCAACAGAAGTCCAATAACAAAACACCACTCGAATTCAGATCAGGGGTGCCGTTCCTCCCAACCACACTGCTGTTGCCCACGTGAGCGTTAAAGTCTCCCAGCAGAACGAGGGAGTCACCGGAAGGAGCGCTTTCCAGCACCACCTCCAAGGTCTCCAAAAAGGGTGGGTAGTCTGAACTGTAGTTTAATGCATAAGCACAGACCACAGTCAGAACCCGTCCCCCCACACGTAGGCGGAGGGAGGCTACCCTCTCATTCACTGGGGTAAACCCCAACGTACAGGCACCAAGATGGGAGGCAACTAGTATGCCCACCCCTGCTCGGCACCTCTCAGTGGGAGCAACTCCAGAGTGGTAGAAAGCCCAACCCCTCTCAAGGAAACTGGTTCCAGCGCCAGAGCCATGCGTTGAGGTGAGTCCGACTATATCTAGTCGGAACCTCTCAACCTCACACACCAACTCAGACTCCTTCCCCACCAGAGAGGTGACATTCCATGTGCCAAGAGCCAGCTTCTGTAGCCGAGGATCAGACCCCCAAGGTCCCCGCCCTCGACTACCACCCATCACACACTGCACCCGACCCCTTTGACCCCTCCCACAAGTGGTGAGCCCATGGGAAGGGGGACCCATGCTTCCTCTTCGGGCTGTGCCCGGCCGGGCTCCATGGGTGAAAGCCCGGGCACCAAGCGCTCGCCAACGTGCCCCACCTCCAGGCCTGGCTCCAGAGGGGGGCCCCGGTGACCCACGTCCGGGCGAGGGAACACGGTTTCCATTTATATAATTCATCATAAGAGGTCTTTTAATGTTCTCATGTTATGATTTGTGTAGCCAACCAGATGTTGACAAGTTTGAGGAATATTATTAAGAATCTCAGAAACACGCCTTCATTGATACCAGACGCTCTGATCTGGGTAAAGGACTATCTATGTGTCACACGTTTAACTTAACTTTTCTTTGTTCTTGTGTGAGTGCAAATGGTGACGACCTTGTCATATTAACATGCTGAAACATATTTCAATCACTGTCATAACATAACATTCATTTCAAACTTCAATCATTGAGCACAGATTAATGAAACATTTCATTATATTATAATTATTATAAGTAGCAATAAACAAACGTTTATTTAATGATTATCTAGCTTATAAGTTGTAGAAGTTTATATCTGATTTAGGAAATCTGGGCTGTGAATGTTCCTTCTATGGAGGCATGAAGAATCCTGAAAGATTGGACCTTGAGGAGAGAGCGTTATTGTTAACTTTTCGTTATCTGTGTTCAGAGCTGCAGGCTCTGAGCTCCAGTGGGATGGAGGCAGGCCGATTAAAAGGGGACACATGCAGTCTCGTGTCTCCTTTTTGACCAGATGTTGAAAGGTCAGACTGTACCTAAAAACTGACCATTGCTGGACGTTACAATATGAATTCAAATTAATGTTGTCAATATGTTCAAGGTCAACATAATTACCACTAAAACTTAATGAGTGTTGGTGTTTTGCTGACATTTTTGCTTTTTTACTCTAAATAAAAGACAAAAGTTGAATTTTCTTGAATGCTCTTCACAGGGACACGTCGGGCCAGGGGCGGTTCTGCACTATCTTCCGCTCATATTCCCGTGGCGCTCAGGTGAGCAGGAGCACCTATGAGGGTAAAGCAACAGCACAGCCTGCTTCTCTCTGCTGACTGTGTACGTTTCTCCTCAGGGGATTTTACTGGTGTATGATATAACAAACCGGTGGTCCTTTGATGGCATCGACAGATGGATCAGGGAGATCGATGAAGTGAGTCTGATCAGAGTTCAGATATTTATGTCCCACTGTGGTTGGTTCATGTCTCCAGAAAAGATAACAATTAAAAAAAAAATCCAAGACATATGTAAACACAGAAATTCAGGATAAAAATTTGGCATCGAGATCATCCTACCTCATAGATTTGCCACATTGTTGTTCCAATTCACTGCATGCTTGCCTGCCTTTATAATTGCTTTTGTTCTGATTTTGTTGCTGCAACATTTCTATAAACATGATCAGATCCCATCACTTACTCTCTGGTACATCAAGAGACAAACAGAACCCCCCAGCCTCTGTGTGCAGGCGATTTACTTCATGTCCTTCCTGCTGACTTGGAAACAAAGAGGATGTCTGCTTTGTGAGTGTGTGTGTGTGTGTGTGTGTGTGTGTGTGTGTGTGTTTCCCTCTTTCTTTGGGCCTGTGGAATGTGTGTTCCATTTTGACTTTTCCTGCTCCACCTCTACTGAACTAGCTCAGTTGCACACCTTTGGTGACAGAAATAATGTCAGGATGGAGGTCTCAGAAATGTGTTCTGATGGAGGATAACCAGTGTGTAAAAGGAGAAGATGGCACATATAAATAAGCCGTCTGATATCCGATGATCATGAACGGTTTTTGGTTCTCCAGTGTTATTAGTGGATAAATTCCACAATCAGTTCATCTTATCGTCTGCTACACTGTGCAGAAACCCAACTGTTGAATAAAGACTTAATATTTTATTATAGTGAAAACATTTTCTTTGAAAAACGAGAAGCTTCAGGTCCACCAATCTTCCTTCGGCAGGTTAACGGATCTGGAAAGCCACCTCTTTGACAGGCAGACATGGTACACTCAGTAGTTTCAATCAAAAAGATTCCAGATCCCAAATCATTTGTTCAGATCAACCTTTTCCCGGCATCCGTCACTGCCTTTTAGAGGTGCTGAAAAAAATCGATTCAAGTCTGATTCTTATTTATAAAGATTCAGAATTGATTGCAAGAACTCAAACATTTGGCATGTTACAGGTTTGAGATGCACTTTTGTGATCTTTGTTAGGAGAGTCAGTACTCCGATTACTTTTGTGGTCCCATAAATTGAGATGATTTATGTTTGAATCTGCTGATAAGAGGGCACTCGGATGTCATTTTTTCCATACTCAGAAATTTGAGATATTCTCATATTTATTTTCTAAGTTGATGAATGAGTACTCAGGATTACTCATGTAACTTGTTTCTACACATACTTGAAAAGTAGACCGTATTACTTTCAAAGCTACTGTTAGGTAACTACAGATTTGTTATATTTTACAAGGTAAGCAAAAATAAATGTTGCCTTTTGGTCAAAAGATTGTTTCTGTTTACAGTTTTAGAATCACTTTATTTTACATAGTAAATTAGCATTTTTGGAGCACGGCCAGTTTAAAGTCTAATAAAAATGTCCCATAGCTTTAACTAACTTGTACAACAACGAAGTTCATCCTGGAGCTGACACTCCTTGTTAATACTGATTGTGAATCCATTTAAATCGAGAATCGATTCTGAATCGAATCGGCACCCCAAGAATCGGAATCGAATCAAATCGTAAGTTGCTCCAAGATTCACATCCCTACTGCCTTTAGTTTGAGTCTGACCTCTGTTTCGAGGAGAAGATGGCAGGCAGGAGACTACAGAGTCTGATTGGTGGTGACAGACAGGAGTAGAGGAGGAGGATGGAGGTCATCCTCTCGCTGTCATCATGTTTCTACCAGTTTGTCAGGATAGATGAGGATGAATCAGAGACAGCCACAGCTTCCAGCTGGTCGAGATAGAAACAAACCTCTGCTGGCCACTTTGAGTGTAATGACTCTGGCTCATTCCATTTCTTTCTGTGACGGTTAATTTTTCGTGAGCTTTTATGGATTTAAAGATGAATAATCAGTGTTCTGGTTGTGTTTTACAAGCTGATGAAACAGATGATCATAGTTTTCTGCAGCAGATTAACCGGTCTTTTGATGCATTTACTCCTTTATTGCCAGCATGCCCCAGGCGTGCCCCGAATCCTCGTAGGAAACCGTCTTCATCTGGCCTTCAAACGACAAGTTCCCACGGAGCAGGCCAGGGCATATGCAGAGAAGAATGGCATGACCTTCTTCGAAGTGAGCCCCCTGTGCAACTTCAATGTGATCGAGTCTTTCACGGAGCTGTCTCGCATCGTTCTGATGAGGCATGGCATGGAGAAGTTCTGGAGGCCTAACCGAGGTGTGTGGATGGTAACGTTGCTCAGCTGACATCGGATAAGAGTCACATCTCCAGATTTCTCTCATTAATTCTCTTCTATCTCAGTCTGCTTTGTGCAAAAAGAGATTAAAGTGGAAAATGAAGTCCAGCATGTCCTCTGAAGTTAATTAATGATCAGATCCAGGCCTAATAGGCCGAACGTTTTCTGACGTTAATGTGATGTTTAATCCGCAGCTGGGCTTCAGGAAAAGACTGAAGTCTTCTGATTTATTCTGAGCTCTAAACAACGATCCAAGCAGTTTGTTCTCTTAGATCTAATTTAACCAACTGCATTACGCCGGGGACAAACCAGCCGCCGAAGTGCCGCGAAGCGGGGACCGCCTTCATTCGGCGCCCTTGTTATCCTATTCTACAGACCACATGGGCCGCCGAAGCACCGTGCAGCGATCGTGTCGGCGTCTGCTCTATTTTTTTCGCGAGCCGCGGGTGAACCGCGTCAATTCTGGCAGGAAGTCAAACCTAGACATAAGAGGCAGGCCGGTAAATTTAACAAAATAAAGCATTTCAAAGTACAATTCCGCAATATTCAAATGTGTTCGTAAACAGACACTGCATAAAAACCACACACACACAGCAAACTTTTGTGTGTGTGTGTGTGTGTGTGTGTGTGTGTGTGTGTGTGTGTGTGTGTGAGAGAGACCACGTGAAAGGGGTGTGGTTTTGGGTGTCTTTCCACCGGAGCAAACAGGACAGACAGGCAGAAAGTCGTAGGCCAGCTATTAACAACTGGTTCACACCATAGGTTCGTACACACACACACGTACAAACACACACAAACAGCAAGGGTGAGGGGGTGTAGAGGAAAAGAGCAGAGAAAAGGCGGAGAGGAAATGGAGGACACCAAGTGGTTAAAAGAAAAACTACGAGGCACGCCTCGACCGGAGCGGAGAAACAAGCGTCTGGTCTGAACTGAGGAGCAGCGGCCGAATTTCGTGAGCGCTCCGCCTCCCGGTGCTTCGGCGGCCGGTGTGTCCCCGGCGTTAGGGTTTTTCTGTTTTAAAACAAAGCGGCACAGAAGTTTCCTCAGTCACAAGTTAAAACAAGAATGTTCTGTTCAGATGCAACATAGATCAGGTTCACCTGTGCATCATATCAGCAAAGACAGGAGCAGAAAACAAAAAATAATATTTACTTTTAACCCAAACTCATTTTGCATTTGTTTTCAAACAAAGTCAGAAAGAAACACTGAGAGTTAGTTTAACTTACACGTAACGAAAAGCTGAGTCACAAATTTTACAAAAGAATTAAATTTGTTTTATTAGTTTGAGCCTGGAAGGAAACTTTAAACAAAAACGATCAGCATTTTTAAAACTCTTAAAAATAGTTCTTTGATCAATGTTGACCTCTTAAAAGAAACGTTGACGTGAAAACCCTCTGCTGCTGCTCCAGGTGTCTTCAAGACTCATATGAATGATATCAGATCCCCAGAAGAGCAGTCGTGTTTCATGATGCTAAAAGCTGCTGCAGAGGCAGCAGATCTAAATGTGGGCCACGTTTTGTTTTACTTGACTTAAAACGTCTGAGACGGCTAGGAAAATGTCAGCTCTAACACTGTCCTCCTTCACGTCCCCTGCAGTCTTCAGCCTCCAGGATCTCTGCTGCAGAGCCATCGTTTCCTGCACACCAGTCCATCTCATCGACAAACTCCCACTGCCTGTCGCCATCAAGTCCCACCTCAAGTCTTTCTCCATGGCCAACGGCATGAACGCCGTCATGATGCATGGACGTTCCTACTCGCTGGCCAACCCGGCTGGCGGCTCTAAAGGCAACAGCCTGAAGCGGTCGAAGTCCATCCGTCCACCCCAGAGTCCGCCACAGAACTGCACCCGCAGCAACTGTAAAATCTCCTAAGTTCTGCGTGGCGCTGAGCGGTGTCCCACCCTCTTGAGAGGTGAGGGCGGGTCTTCAGTGAACAGCTACAGACACTTTCTCACTACATCCCTCTGCTGAAGCAGAGACGCTGAGACGCCACCTGCTCCACTCGCTGTCTGAGGGGTTACTACGTGTACAGAAAGCTCTCGATCACATTTCGTTTCTCTACATGCTGCATGACGTTCTCGTGCATCACTGATGCCGTCTCAAGACTTCTCATTCACTTTGACACTTTCTCTCTTCTGTCTGGTTAGATTTCCTCCTCTTCTACCCACACTTACATTTGATGTCAGTGATCAATAAGCTAATGTTTAAGACACTACTAACTTGTTCGTCCCTGATCAGCTTCCAACCCAGGTCCCTAAAGTCCTGATGGACTCGACCTGAAGCAAGTCTCAGGTCCAGACTTGCTGCGGTGCCTCCAGTCCACGTCTGACTTTTTTCTCAGCGCTTCATATCAGTGTAAACTTTTACAAAGATCAAAGTCATGAAAAGCAATTTCAACTACGCAGGACACATTCTGCAAATCCGCAGAGTCGCCGTTTTTAACAGAGGAGCCTGTGAGCCTTGTTGCCATGGATACCGTGCTAAAATAGTCCAGTGAGGGCTCTTCTATTTTCTATGAACTTCCTTTTCAGACAGTTTGGATTAAATTTCATACGGGGCATCTGTGCAGTTTGTTTTTAGGACAGACCTGCTGCAGGTTTGGAATTTTTCCTGAAACTAAATATTTTCCTTTTTAAACAATCTGGAAATCTTTCCTACTTGAAATGGGCTCACCTGTTTGTGTTGCACCTGTTTTCTTTGATCCAGCAGCTTCTGGGAGTTGTGTGGAGAGCAGATGGAGAAGCATGTCTTTCAGGATTGAGATTTATTCTCCTGTGCCCCCCCCCCCCCAGACATCACAGCGGAGTGTTATAGATTTGTCACCAGTGGAACACAGCACCATCATGATGGTATAATCGGTGTTTTAGTCTCAATATTGTTGATGCTACTAAGAGTTCATTAGTCCAGAAAATCTGTCGTCAACATATTTTCTTTGTCTTTTTAGGAAAATGTTCTCAAATTGGAAGATTGACAGCTTAAAATAAAGAGTAGTTGGGTTTAGACTCCCGATAAATGTTATTTTAAACACATTCACTCGTTTAGTTAAACTCATCCAGTATTTGCAGCCTGGAGCTAATACCATGAGTCTCCGGTCAGAACCGAACACCGAGTCCACCCGGGAGGCTTTTGGTGGTTTTCTTCCTGACTGACACCTGTTAGATGGACTCCATCATGTTTTCCTGCTGTCTGCAGACGCCTACATTTCTCCTGTTGTTTTTCCATCAACACTTTCCAAAGCAAATGAAACCAGTTTGAGTTGCTGAACAGGTTCACGCCAAGGCGGAGTATTGGTGCCAGTATTTATGCTGAACACGGACCCATACTGAGCAGGTTGTAACCTTTTCTCAGCACCTGTCCCACGTTGGGCCATCACACAGATTAATGTAATACTTAAGTTCAAAAGAATAAATTAAAATGTTTACATTTCAGATTTTATGATGGTGCATTTAGCCGGATCATGTCCTAGCCATTTTAGCTGCCTCGTGGAAACTCGTGTTTTCCGGTTCAAATCAAAATTGCGGTCCGTTAACAGCAGACCCATGTGTGATGGTGGGCTTCAGTGGGACCTGGTCATTGAGAGATAATTGAATTCCTGCTGTCGGAGTTCTGGTCAAATTCTTCCGTTTCCTTCATGTCGCTGTGCTGCATTCAGGTCCAGTGGGACAGATGGCCATCACGAGTAAACAGAGCTCAGTGTTTTGCTTTTCAATTCAATTCAAAAATACTTTATTAATCCGAGGGAGATTGATTAAATAGATTTTGTGTTTATGGTGAGCCTGAAGCAGCACTCGTGTAGAAATGACTTGGAACATGTGAACGCTTCCAAGTCACTGCCTTTTAGCTGTCTAACCGTTCTGACTGGATCTCCCCAGAGACCGAACGCAGCATGTCGTCTTCGTCTTCTGCTTCCCTCTGATCTGCAGCTCTGTCCCATGATTCATAGCTGCTTAATAATAGATGCTCTGCAGGGCTTCATCTTCGTTTCTCCTCACTGCTCCTTCATCCTGTGAGGTTTATTTCTCAGTGTTAATAACTGGATCAGTGGTGACTTTCCAGCTTCAGCCTGGTTGTACTCAGCGTTAGCTCCGGTTTGTTTGCTCATCATTACGCTCCATGTTTGCTTTGTGTTCATTTACTCCCAAATTGTATCTCAAGCCGTTTTAGCCTTTTGGTCTTTAGATATTGTAACTTTAGAGGAGGTCCTGCTTCCACTGACCCAGAATCAGATTTCAGATGGTGGTTTCTGTTTTCCAAACCATCCATCTGCAGCCTGTTGTCAGTTTTTACTCAACTTGCTTTTTTTTAAATAGTTTTTATCCAAATTTGACAGGTTTTTGGAGTTAAGATAAAAAAAAACAGAATTTTATGTTAAAAGAGAATCTGATCATCTTTGTGCTGGTGTCGATTAGCTGGACAGCCTTTATGGCACTTTGACCATTATCATTAAAAACAGCTCGATACTTTTTCACTTAACTTCCACAAATCAGTCATTTCATAGTTTTAATATTGAGACACTTAAACTCTCATCACCTACAAAAGGTTTTTCAGAACTTAAACATGAAATAAAATACCAGAGATGTCAGACTCGTTCAAAACTTGCCAACCCTCGACCTTTGAAGTAAACAATAAATGGAAAATTGTTAGTAAAAATCCAACAACTAGTGGAAGAAATTTCCAATAAGGTGGGAAAAGATCATTTTGGTGCACTTTTATGAACAATATTGACTTTCGTCCATAAAAAGAGTAAATGATTAAAAGGCATTTTAGTTTGTTTAAAATAACAAAAATAAAAATTCTGCTGTAAAATGTGTTCTCTGTGACAAAACTGAAATGGCTTTGAAGATGTTTAAGAGACATCCATGGTCCTCAAAGGATTAACATCATTAAATAACATCCACCACAGAGTGAGTTTAGTTGTCTTCTGACGTTCAGCTTCATCCGCTTGTTACTGTAAATTTAAATCACTGCTGTTTTTTGTGCATCAGACACTTGACAAAGATTAAAAGCAGTTCTTGTTTTCCTGTCTAAATGGGAAACACCAAAACAGAGAAGATGTTCTTTAAAAGAGGAAAGTGTTCAAGTGCTTCTGCTCTTCGTGTTCCTTTTTTCTGCAGACATTTTCAAGAGCGACCCGTTAATAATGCATGTAAGAGATTTTAAATCGCTGTCATTTAAAGTTGATTCTTGTATTTTTAGTTTTTTATGTGCCTTAATGATCAGCACCTTTTATTTGTTTGTCATGTACACAAATGAAATAAGAAGTCTGATTGTTTTCCATTCAGCCATCTACTCCAGGTTTTGTTTCTTCGTCATTGTATTGCAGACTTGTGTCACCTGAGCTGAGAGTCCACATGTAGAAACATGGAACATTAGCAAGAGACCGTTGGAAGCCTGAACTCTGAATGCATCCATCTTGTTTGTTTAAAAGAAAATGACCTATAAGACACTATTCCTGTTTTATTGTTCTTGGCTGAAGCTGCTGAATGATGTGAAGTGAGAGTGACTATGTTCTTCAACCTGAATTTTTTTTTCTTTTTTAAATTATTGATTGTACAGTTCAAGCAACATGTATGAAGAGACTTTTTCATAATAAAACTATTGAATGTTGGAGTAGGTTTGTGTAGTTTTCACATTTATCTTACAAACACTTCACATGTGGCTCGTGTGAAATGAAAAGAAACTGAACAGGTGAAACTGGGAAAAGGAGAATATGGTGCAAAAGTTAATTTATGTCAATAATCCAATGTAAAAGGTGAAACAAATATGAGATACTCATTGATTTTGAATTATACATTCACCTAAAAGAGGAACACCACACTAACACGGTGTTTCACCCCCTTTGGCCTTCAGAACTGCCTTAATTCTGCGTGGCGTTGGTTCAACGAGCTGAAAGCATCCTTTAGAAATGTTGGTCCATATTGAAAGGATCGCATCTCGCTGCTGATGGAGATGTGTGGGATGCACATCCAGGACACGAAGCTCCCGTTCCACCTCATCCCAAAGATGCTCTATCGGGTTGAGATCTGGTGACGGTGGAGGCCGTTGTAGTACAGAGAACTCATCGTCATGTTCAAGAAACCAGTTAGAAATGATTGGAGCTTTATGACATGGTGCACTATCCTGCTGGAAGTAGCCATCAGAGGATGGGTATATGGGGGTCAAGAAGGGATGGGCATGGTCAGAAACAATGCTCAGGTAGCCTGTGGCATTTAAACCATGCCCAGTTGGCTCTAAAGTGGCCTAAGTGTGCCAAGAAAACATCCCCCACACCATGACACCACCACCACCACCACCAGCCTGCACAGTGTAACAAGGCATGATGGATCCATGTTCTCATTCTGTTTACGTTAAATTCTGTCTCTACCATTAATGTCTCAACAGAAATGGAGACTCGTCAGATCAGGCAACATTTTTCCACTCTTCAACTGTCCAGTTTTGGTGAGCTGGTGCAAATTGTAGCCTCTTGTTCCTGTTTGTAGTGGAGATGAGTGGTACCCGGTGGGGTCTTCTGCTGTTGTAGCCCATCCGCCTCAAGGCTGTGCGTGTTGTGGCTTCACAAATGCTTTACTGCGTTCCTCGGTTGTAACGAGTGCTTATTCCAGTCAAAGTTGCTCTTCTATCAGCCTTTAATCAGTCGGCCCGTTCTCCTCTGACCTCTAGCATCAACAAGGCATTTCCACCCACAGGACTGCCGCATACTGGATGTTTTTCCCTTTTCACACCATTCTTTGTAAACCCTAGAAATGGTTGTGGGTGAAAATCCCAGTAACTGAGCAGACTGTTAAATACTCAGACCACCAACAACCACGCCACGCTCAAAATAGCTTAAATCACCTTTCTTTCTCATTCTGACCTTCAGTTTGGAGTTCAGGAGATGGTCTCGACCAGGACCACACCCCTAAATGCACTGAAGCAACTGCCAAGTGATTGGTTGATTAGATAATTGCATCAAGGAGAAGTTGAACAGGTGTTCCTAATAATCCTTTAGGTGAATGTAACTAGATGGGTCGATTGAGAACTTATTCTCATTTACAACGACGATCTGGCCAAGAGGCAGCAGCAACCAACATATATTTAGCTTTACACCAAAGAACAGATAAGATAAAAACAGTTGGACATAAAAATGATTGTTCTTCTCATATATAATATGTACAAGCAATCAAAACAGACTTGAAGCAATCTTTAAGTACTCAGAAGCACATTGATCAGAACCTATTGTTTCAATGAATTATTGAAGGTAGATAATGGGATGTAGGTAGTGAGCGATAGTTAGTGATTTTTGCAGCTCATTCCAGTCGTCCGAAGCAGCAAACTGGAATGAGGAGCGGCCAAAGGAGAGCTTTGGGATTGACCATAGTGATTAAGTTACATGAACATAAATTGCACTGGTTGTTAGAAGTGATGAGTAATGAGTGAAGATGTGACTGTGTTCTACTGATGATTGTTTTGTACATAGATATACCAACCTGCGAGAATGGAGTAATGGTCAGTTAACGAGTGAGTACAGATCACAATGAGCAGTGAAAATCCATGATGATGAAAAGCCAGATATTTCAAGCCTTTGTTTGTTTAAATGGTGATGATTTTGGCTTACAGTTTATGAAAACCCCACATTCAAATTCTCAGACAATTAGAATATTGTGAAAAGGTTCAATAGACTCAAAGCGTTGCACTGTAATCGGCTAATTAAACCAAAACACCTGCAAAGGGTCCCTGAGCCTTTAGATGGTCTCTCAGTCTAATTTGTTTTACTGAAATAAATTGACTTTTGCACAATATTCTAGGGATGCACCGGTAAAAGTTAACAGATACCAGTAGCCGACACCTACGCAGTTGCTTGAAAGTGACTTCATTGTAACTTGTCATTTCTGTTCACCTAATATTTTAGTTTTGTGATCATTTCTATTAACACATTTTACTTTTTATCTACCTCACAGTCTTTTCCTGTTGCATGCAGAGAATAAAATAAAACCTGTATTCCAATTCATTGCATTTTTTTGTGTGGTAGAAGTATCGGTGAGTACTCAAATCCAAGTATCGGTATCGTATCGGAGATAACGGCGCAGTGCGCCTGGCTCTGGTGGTAATCAAGTTAAATTATATCTCTTTGCAACAATTTTCACAAGAAAACAGAACAGTTAAAAGCAGGGCTTGTGTTGACCGGACAGTTCCCGTATTTGACCGTTTATTTTGACGGAGAAAGAATAGAAAGAATTACCCCGACGCATGCAGACGAACTGACACTTTATTCGTTACGCACATCGCAGATGTAGCTAAATCACTCAAGAAAAGATTCTCATCTGAGCTGGACACTGCTCAGCGCAGCTCGCTGTCAGCGCATACGTACGGTCCACAGCGAGCTGAAGATGTGGAGATTGGCTTGGAGCGCGTCGCAGAACCAGAGCGCATGCAGGAAGATTCCTCCGACTGAAGCGAGTGTTTTCCAAACCCTGTCTCTCAGAGAGAATTGTCACTTAGAAAATGTTCCCTGATTATGAAACTTTGGCTGAATAGTGCTTGTTCCTGTCTCCAATGTGGCGACACATCCAGGAGCCGTCTGAGGAGAATTCCAGAATCTCACATCCTCTTCAGCTCAGAATGCGCCTATATGATTACGCACAAGCGTGACGCGTCAACCCGGTCTCACAGTGAGACCGGGTTGGACCTGTTCGGGTTTACGCAGACAATCTTTAGAATTTAGAATCAATTTAGAATTAGCTTACAGATGTAAAATGTATGCAGTAAAATATAAAGCATTTTATTTAAATATCCATTCATTATTTTACAAGCACAGAGAGCCGTATCAGATGGATGGAAGAGCCGCGGGTTGCCGACCCCCGCACTAAGATGCTGTACAACAAAAGAGTAAAACAATTAAAAACACATAGCGGTACAGACATAATTAAAACCACAAATGAGAACTACAAAATATAAAACATTAACAATTGCTAACCCACAGAATTAAAAGCCAGATCATAAAAGTAGGTTTTCAGCCTCATTTTAAAAACTGCTGTCTCCAAACGCAGTCTCCAGGCTGCTCCAGAGACGGTTCATACCGGCATTATCTGGAGTTTAGGACAGAAGGCTGTCAAATGTCTGCTTGGAGCACTGAAAAGATCTCCCTGACCTGGGAGGAAAGTTGTCTTCAATGTAATGGAGGCATGGAAGTAAGTTTTTTTTTGGGGGGGGGGGGGGGGGGGACATGTCCCCCCCACTTTTTCCAAAGTCAAGTTTTGACCCCTGCACTTTTTACCATCCAAAAACAATATTACGCTATGTTAAATTGACACTGGTTGAGCTCTAGGACCAAGCAGAGACCTGATCCTCAGGCCACCAAAACGGATGCCCTCCACACCTTGGCTGCACTTAGAAATCCTGTCCATAAAGGTTATGAACAGAATCGGTGACAAAGGGCAGCCTTGGCAGAGTCCAACTCTCACCGGAAACGAACCCGACTTACTGCCGGCAATGCGGACCAAGCTCTGACACCGGTCATACAGGGACCTAACAGCCAGTATCAGAGGGCCTGGTACCCCATACTGCCAGAGTACCCCCCACAGGGCCCCCTGGGGGACACGGTCAAACGCCTTCTCCAAATCCACAAAACACATGTAGACTGTTTGGGCAAATTCCCACGCACCCTCCAGGATCCCCCTAAGGGTACAGAGCTGGTCCAGTGTTCCACGGCCAGGACGAAAACCACATTGCGCCTCCTGAATCTGAGGTTCAACAATCCGCCGGACCCTCCTCTCCAGAACCCCTGAATAGACCTTACCAGGAAGGCTCAGGAGTGTGATCCCCCTGTAGTTGGAACACACCCTGCTGTCCTCATTTTTAAATAAGGGGACCACCCCAGTGGGACTGCCCCCAACGTCCATGCGATATTGAAGAGCTGCGTCAGCCAACACAGCCCCACAACATCCAGAACTCTGGTTAGATCTCATCCACCCCTGGGGCCCTCCCAGTGAGGACCGTTTTGACTACCTCGGTGTTCTAGCACCAGAGCCCAACCCAAAGTCTCCAGAATCTGCTTCTTCACTGGACGAAGCGCCAGTGGGATTTGGGAGGTGTTCGAAGGACTCCCCACACTGATCCACGGTGTGAGGGCCCATCTAATTTAATCTTGTCCTGGGCCCATGGCAGTCAGCTGGCCTGATCAGAGCTAGTGTTTTATTACGACTTCTGAAATTAAACACTCACCTATTTACTTGAGAACGTGGTTTGGTTTATGGATGGAGTTTACACAGACGTGTGATGCACATGCAAACAAACCACTTTCTGTTGTCAGCCACAAGCTGAACGATAAAGTAACAACAGTCATCTTTACTTTTTTCATGAAAATAAAACATATTTCCATATCTATTTAGTTTGAATCAAGGTGCAGCTGGCTGGAAACATTGTTTCTGGTACGTGCTCTAGGGATTTTCTACCAGGGGAAGAATGGGGTGAACACACGAACACCACCTTTATACAGAGAAACAGCAGGGGATGAGAATCATAACTAAAATGATGAAGGGCAGAAGACTCATAAAACATACAAGTATTTAGAGCGCATGTTAGACACGAGGTTTGCTATTATGATGACTTGAATTTCATGGTTCAACTCCACCAGC